TCGCGCGATGTGCAGAGTAGATGTGTGCTCTGCATATTTTGGGTTTCTGGTCATGATGATATGGGTGGTTTACAGTAGACTGAAATTTGTAATTCCTCCTACGGCAGTCTTGTTTTTTTCTTTGGTTGAACCTGCTAAACAGAACTGTAGGTCGTCAGTCATCTTCCCAAGTCTTTCCGTTATTAAATACATTTGTGTTGCCACCCTACTGAGAAAGAGAGTTAGCACTCACTTGCTCCAAAGGTAACTGAGCAACCCGGATTAAGATACCTGCAAACGTCTAGAAAGTTTAACCTAAACATTTTCCATGTTACTGATTAAGACTGTCCGGTTTAGCACAGTTGGTGGATGTCTCATTAAGCGCTCGAAATTAAACCAAACCTTGGTGAAACGTACTGACGCTCATTCACAGCTCAACTAACTCATCCACTACTCGAAAACTGCTTTTGTTGCTAGCAAACAGCTGCAATGCCGCTTATATTGCTGCTCAATCTGACCCCCCCCCTGATGACGGTTAAATTGAAAAGTATGCTGGTATCATCACATTCATCTGTAAAAGCAGAAAAGTAGACGAAGAGAGGTTGATGTAATGTTTGCTGTACGAACGAACCTCATGTCTTGTTTGTTACGTGGGATAATCTTATGACATCTGTTACAACTTGTCGGTAACCGATATACTACGCTAATCAGTGTCCAGGCACCTATACGTGTTTCAGATGAAACTGAAAAGTCCTCATTCTACGAGGCGTTGCGAGATCTCATTCAGTCTGTTACTAGAACTGATAAAATCGCCTTGTTAGAAGATTTTAATGGAAGGGTTGGATGTAACTGGGAGCTCTAGACTTGTCCGAGTATATACGGAACAGTTCTAGATTCACATTCCGTGTACACAATTCCACTGCAAAGGTGATTATATAATTACCTGAACGCACACACGTTCCACCAATGGCAGCGACTAAACTATGTTATAGTCCGTAAACCTGAAATACAGGACGTCTGCAATGTCAGAGGTACAGGCTGTTGAACCGATCACACGTTTGTACGTGCTAAATGCGTTTGATCTTTAGGTCAGCTACTCAAAATCGCACTACTGTGAACTTGCTAAAGTGCACTGATGTTGAAAACTTCACGCCCAAGACATTAGATAAGCACTGCAAGCTTGAATTGAAACCCTGGTTAATTCCACTAGCTCGTATGGTGGCGCTAACTTGGCTGCAATAATTCATAGAACCATCTTAAAATCTGAAATGTTGGGAGAGTTCCAAAGAATTGGAGAGATGCGGTTATAATATCATTGTACAAAAACAAAGGTTTTGTGGGAATTATGGTGGTATAGCTTTACTTTCACCAGCAGGTAAAATTTTAGTGGGGATTCCACTGTCTTTACAGTGGTCATATTCCAATCTGCTCGAATCATCAATATTTGTTGACGGCCACAAACTGAAATTCACAAACCTTGGGGAGCAATATAAACAGACACTGCAGTTTTCTTGATAGTGAGAAGAAAGCAATTGTGCATTTGCAGCTTTAAATATTAGGAGAGAACTTAAGAAATGCGCAAACATGTCGAAAAGGCCAATACAATCTGCATCAAAGCGCACATTCATTGCCACTGATTTCGCTGGGTAGGCTATGTCATTCATGTTGACGGCAGCAAAATACCAAAGAAAAGGCTCCATATGGAGTTGCTCTACGGTACTAGACCCCCCTGCATAAACCAAGTAAGAGCTTCAAGGACTGTTTCAAAGAGTTTCTTGCAGCCTGCCATATTGATGATACTGAGGGAAACTGCTGTGATTGATATAAGCGGAGGCGTACAATTCATGAAGGCACTGAGATCTGCCAAGAATAGCAAGAATGAAACTAGAGAAGGAGGAATCATTGATCCAAAATCTAAATACGGCAGAGTATGTCATGCCAATGCAGGCCTCATGAATTAAAAGAAGAGTCACTTTCACATATTAGGAAATAACTTAGTATGTGAGATGTGTCGAAAAACCTGCATAAGCCATTCGGGTCACACCTTGGTCGTTAAGGACCTCAACGTGGAATTTCTTGCTGGCATACCGTTTATATCAATGAACGATGTAAGCATCCGTCCTTCACAACATAAAATCACGATTGGTGAGTCTTACTCAATATATTACGACACTCCACGCAGTCACATCCGACAACAAAGTCGCATGCCATGCACTCAGGCATTCGTCTTGAGGGCTCTTTCACCACTGTGTGACCTGGATCCTACACAGACGTAGCACTACCTGAGGGTCTACTTTCAGGCCACATACTAGGTGTCAAATAACCCTTCGAACATTGTGATACCCATGACATGTGGCCCAAAACTTTAATTGTCAAAACAGTAGACGGAAAAATCCGTTTTGTCAGTGATACCTGTGACCCCAAACAATTGAAGAGAAACGGCCATTTCTGTCAAGTCAACAACCGTACCCACGAGAGAAAACCATGACAAAGAACTCACTACCATAAAGAACGAACTTCAATTACTTAAGGTAATTCAGTGAAGGTGGACCCCTGACTTGATTCTAGACTATACCCTGCTTCAGGAGAATGATCTCTTTTTCAACCGCAAATACAGCGACTACAATGGCGCTATTGGGAAGTTTGAGTCGACGATTAACATGGTCCCTACCAAACAACCACAATGGAAAGGCTGGCTCCCACATTACTTGCATAACAAACCATTAATACTCCAACATAATGTGATGAATTAGAGTTCTTTGAGGACCTTGAAATCACTGCCGATGCCAGATGTTGACTCCACATAGCCCATGGTGGGGTAATGGAAGTACATCATTAAAACAAACCTCACCAGTGCCTTTTATCATATCTGTTTACAAAGGCAATCCATTAAATACTGCGGCATTGTCACACCCTACAAGGGTGTACAGATCTATACACATCGTGCCATTGGCATGCCCGGATCGAACATAACACTCAAGGAACTCATGTGCTGCATACTAATTGATCACCTCCAAACTGGTATCATTGCAAAGTTAGCAGAAGATTTGTATTGCGCTGCAAACAGCCCAGATGAACTCCTGGAAAATTGGTCAAGCGTTATGAAGTCCCTCGTCTTCGCACTCCAGTTGTCCGCATCCAAAACAGTTGTCTGTCCAGGATCCACTACAATCCTAGGCTGAATCTTAAGTTCCCCTCCCAAGATCACCATATTATCAACCTGAAAACCACCTGAGAGTGCTCATAGACTATGCTCCTTCATCGGAACAAAAGTACTAGCACGGGTCCTCCCAAGTTGTGCACAAGCTATGGCCCCACTTGAGAAAGCCTACAACGCAAAGACAAAATTAACTGGACTGATGACCTAGTTGAACGCTTCAAAGAAGCATAAGATCAAGCAGTGCACCCTAACAAACTTTGCACCCAGGTGATAAAGAAACTCTGCTGAGACGAATTATTTGCTAGTACCAGAGTAACTGCGTTTCTGTTTGCTGTTAGTCGAACTATAGCACCTTGTTGGAATTGCCAATATCCCATCTGGCTTCGAAAGTAGATATGTAATGGAGTGTAACGAGCCAGCATGTTAAGTATGTAAATTCATCAGGCAAAACCAAAACTCCGTTGTGCATGCTGTCATCTCACAATGATACACCACCCCATCCACACAGGCGCTACCCTTTGCGATACGCTCCACATAGCTCAACGTCCCATCAGACTAACCACCTAAAGCAAGAGACTAGACCCTCCAAAAATTCACCACCATCCGCTATGTCAAGCGTTACCTAAATGCACCACTATTGCGAAAGATGGACCACTAATCGTACGCCAAACTGACCCATTTCAACAATCTAGGGAATTAATTATAGTAATGTGCAGTGTTACTGGATGGTCTTGTCACTGTCTTCTATATCTGCTTAGACCATCCCACTAAACACCAGAGGCTCATGAAACGCCAATTTTACGCCCTGACCTCTCTCAAGCCATTGACTCGTGCCATACGTGTATATCACCGCGGAAGTTCCCCGCCAAGTTCATCAAGCAATCATTTAAGTTTCCACCTGACATTGTCGGAAGTAATTTCACAGCTGACATAATTAAATGGAACAATCAAGCTCATTCTACTGCTATAATAATCGCCGTATACACAACTGCAAGTATTATAGCAGATGAAATCTATAACACCTTACAGCTCTACATGGAACTGTACCGGTTGGATAGTCCACTGTATGCTTAGACCCCGCATCAGGGAATTATGGCTATGCGTAATGACCAAAACCTTCAAAGACATACGCATAAACATAGAAATTGGGTGGGTCAAAATCCTGTTGTGGAAAAAAGCTGTTGTGGAACTTAGAGGTAACTTCGTCGCTGCGCTTGGCCTGACCAGTGCTGTAGGACGTCTCAACTCATGCATTGGGGGCACAGGCCTATTTGCCCGGTAAATGTACACACAACGTTACCAGTACACTCATGAACAGCTGCTCATCATAGATAAACCTTTCCCCAAAATATGACGGCCAAAACTCAAACCACACTGACAGTGCATTGTCCAAATCACACATGAAGTGACCCCATCCCACTCCAACACTATCTGTTGGGGACCTTGTATACCTATATACTGAAAGACAAAGCACGACCCCAATATATCGTGATATAGCATAGCCGACAAATGGCACCACACCAAAAAAATTGCCGAGAAACAACCCAGGCCAGGCTCATATATAGTTAAACTCAGTGAGTGCTACGGCATCCCAATCAAGGTAACAACGACACTCCGATCAGAAACCCAACACTACAGGAGACAGTGGAAACTGAAGCTGAAGCAAACTCTCTCTAACTACACCACACCATATGAAGAAGTTGTAGATGATAACACATCTACCACTGCACCTGAAATACTCGCATCTCCTCCTCAAGGGTATGGTGATGATCCCAACATAATCCAAACGGAGACAACTCTCACACTCCCACACACACAGACACAGACACACAAACACACACAAAGACACACAGACACGCACAGAGAGAGAGAGAGAGAGAGAGAGAGAGAGAGAGAGAGACCATTCCTCAACGCCAACAACGCACACACAGGCCCTTTTTTCTACGTCAAGGCGATTTTGAGTCTTTGACAGCAGATGCGTCATCTGACTGAAACCAGACTCAACCAAGTAAGATATTGGAAAAGTAAATAATAGAAACTTTACATCTTTCCAGACTAGTGGGTAATTCTTATACATGTCTTCATTCTTCCACACTTGAATCTCGTTTGAGCTGCTGCGTTATTTTGAATTTCAATGACACTTTCTTCTAGGGTGATATCAACTTCAGATGCATCAGCAATGAAGGGATTCACAAACCAGTGCGGCATTGTCATTTGGAGTAGATCAGTGAAGCGAGTTTTCATATCATTATACAACTACTTCAAATGATCAACATACGCTGCCAGGTCATCATCAAGCAGCTCGGCAGATATATTTGCTAAGGAAGGAAACTGTGCAGACTACCGTCTCTCAAGGTTCAACCAGAACAGCTTTAGTTTCCTGTTAAATGCATTAATTGCCTCCTAGCAGGCAAACAGGGTGGAGTCATTTCCTTGGAGCTCTTTGTTCACGGCATTTAGCTTTCCAAATATGTCAGACAGGTAGAAGATATCACTTTTTGCATCAACAAGTTTCTGTCCAAGTTCTGTTTCACTCAAGAAAGAAATAACACTGTCCAAGAAAATGATGCAAGCAATTACCCTTGGACAGCCACCTGACTTCAGTGTGCAACACAAGTCGTTCAAATTCTTCATTGTTCTTTTCACATAATTGCTGAAAGAGGCAAATCTTGCAGGGCAATCTTATTTATCAAGTTGACAGCCTTAATAACATGCAGATATACTTTATGCAGACGTCCAGCTAGGTGTTTGGCGAACAGGTGTTGCTGGCGAACAACAAAGTGCACACAAACCACATTAGGAACAGCTTCTTTTTTTTCTTCTTTTAACTAAGCACTGTATCCCCGATAACTTCCAATCATAGCAGCAGCGACATAACGTGCTTGAATGGAATGTTGTTCTCCTTAACATAGACCTCAAATCTTTTGAAGATGGTGTGGACTCGTCCAATATCCTTACCTTTCCAACCCTAACAAAAGCACAGTCCACATCGTACCTAAAAAACTTCAACCAATAAAAACGGCAAGAAACGAAGCAAACAACCCCATTGGTCAATCACTTGAAGTTCACGTGCAAAACAGAAATTGCGCCAAAATCAAGTGAGCCACTTTTGGAAATTCAAACGATATAAAAATAAACGTAGACAGCCTCAGACAGTCAGTCTCACGAATTCGCAGAGTACTTTCCAATATACTCCACGCCAGTACGAACCACAATTTTGCCGCGCACGAAGATACATCGCTCTCATATTCGATCATTCATTAATCAACTCTGTGAGCACTTTTCTCAACTTTGCTTATGTACAGTGAATTAAATTCACTACTTTAAAATAAGTAAACATCAACGAACATACAACATTACGAAAACATCAACTACGTTTAAGGGTAGATCACTCTAAAAAACTCTTTTCAAAAGACACTTATAATTCACAATTACAATTATTGACACAAACAAAAAGACAGCGAATCAACGAACAATATCAACAAAGAGACATTCACAAATCTAACAATTACACACACATTTTGTCCACACGACACACACTCATTATCCAATATGTATATGTTAAATTGTATATAAATGTTGCATTGATTTCTAAATTGTATATGTCTCGTTTTCAATTGCATTTTTGAATTTCGTTTATTTATTTGTTTGGGATGCAGCAAGACACGCAACTAACTCAAAATTCCTTCTGATTCTTTCTTAAATAATTAACAACTCTGCACGTCCCCAACAATGGATTCACCTTTAGTGTCAGTCGTTAGTTTCAACGCAAAAAGTATGTCTTGATATATATCATCAACATCAAGAAACATCTCAAATGCCATCAAAAAAGCAGAATTATCAGGTAAAGTTGATTTGTTGAGTTGAAGTGAGAACTCTTTCACCTGGAGTTTTGAGACTAATTGCTTTTCAACATCAGCTACCATTTCATCAATGCATTACTGATGAGTTGCTCGAAGTAATAACACTAGTTACCTCTTGTGGACTTTGATTCATGACTGTTGAAAACACACTTCAGACATAATCAGAGATTCACCAATAGTATGAGGCTTACTAGCTTTTGCAATCAAGTTTACTATCTTGTAAGAAGCCAACATTCCTCTGTCTACTTTTGCCGACTTTTGGGAAAATATATGATTCCCTGTCACCCTTTCTTGGAACTCATCATGTTAGTTCGTGTAGAAATTTAGCGGCTTGTCTTTCATTTCTCTATGCGCATCCAGATGTTTTTGTTCAATTTGCAAGGGCGCATACTTTCATTTGAGAAAAGCCATGCATAGCATGCATATAGGCATTGTACAGTTTAGTGGGAACTTAATGAAACCATAAGCAAGATATTCGACAGAATGTGGCCTTCACTTTTTCTTATCTGCACTGGCCATGTTTATCTGAAATAAAAAAACAAAAATCTAAAAAAACACAAGGTTTGTGACACTATTTGACACTGGTAAATGGAAAGAAAGAGGTTAAATCAAAAACATAGCTTGGAACGAGGCGAGAAGGGTTAACAAATAGAACAATGGACAGACCAAGAGAAAGAAGTGGGATTTTTCTTTTTTGAAAAAGGAAAGCTTAATTCTCTAAAACCAGAAAAGTTACTTAAAGAAAGGCAATATTAACACAAGAAGCCATGTGGCGATCTTTAAGCCGACAGCTGATTAATGAGGCAGCTCGAGAAGCATCAGTTACGAAAACACAATATAAATAGGATGGATAAGATAAGATAATAACATAAGATAAAATATCACGTGACTAGCTGCCTGAAGAGAACCTTCGACATGAGCCTTGTGCCAGAATGAACTAAACCAGCCGAAGTATCATATTCAACTTAAGAAGCCGCTTCTTCGGTCGATAATTTTCTGCATGAAGAACTCATAAATCAGAGTAACCAAGAATTGTACAAAAAAACGTATAAAAGCAATTTTTTTTATTCAAGTTATTTTTTTTCTCACTTGCGTCTTCTTCACTCTGCCTGGACCAACCCAACGACGATTCGATCGTTGCTAGCCTTATGATCAAAATCAAAATTAAACACATTGGATCGAAGCGATTATCTCATCGATCAGCCATGGGGATTGGACATTTGGACGGGCCAAACGAGAAGGAGGCGACAGGTTTGTCCCAAGCGTTTTCGCATATTAAATCTTCAGTGGTGAAAAATTGGCGTCGAGGGGAGGGGAGGTGCTTCAACTGATCTCTGGTTTTGTTTTAAATGTATGAATTTAATTAAAAAAATATTGTTCTGTCAATTTAAGTGATTCAGGACAATTAAAATTGTTTTTTGGGACAATGATAAAAAAATAGTCTGGAGCCCAGCAGTTTAACACTATACTTTTTAGTTAAGACCCATAGAAAAGGAAAAAAGTGAAAGAAATAAAAGAAAGAACAACTCACATCTTGGAATTATAGTTCACTCAAATAAAAAATAAACAAAACGCAGCACGGAAAGTTAACTGAACCTTGACTGTTTTCAAATCTGAAAGTGAAATTGAATAACACATTGGAAGGAAAAGGGAAAACCCCTAATTTCTTCTTTAATCCGCTTTAGTATTTCATAACTGAAAAAATAATAATCGTTAGTAATTTTTTTAAAATTAAAATATCCGGAAATATGGATGCCATGACGGCAAACTTAAAAATCGTTAATTTTTCGACAGATTAAATAACTCTTTATTTAAAAATACATATTTTTTACCCGGATCAGTGGATTTTAAAATTCAGTGTTAAGTGAATATAAATTTTTTAGTCAATTGTATCAGAGGAACATATATTTTGCAATTTTGCATCAACAACCCAAAGAAAATGCATTGTTTTTAAAACCACTAGAAAAAAACACGCTGCAAAATTAAAAATCTCGACTGACTTTTTCAGGGTCTTTACATCGTAAATTATTATTTTTTGGTATATGTGGTTTTCTCGTTTTGATCTTTCTAGAGAAATGTAAACCTAAAATTAGGAATAGGATAATTTTTTTTTCAAATGACCACACTTTGAACCCCTTCCAACATACACACTGTTAAGTGAAAAAAATTCTCAGTTTTTTATAAATAAAACCTATTTATTTTAAAATTAATTCCTTAATGTATAAAATGCTGAAAATTTTATTAAAATTGGATGATCCCTGATTTTTAGTAATTGTTTATAATCGACAAATCTGAAAAAAAATCATTTGATTATTCCCCTTTGTATTGCCGTGTACATAGCAATGATTAACTGAATCAAAGGCTTTTGAATTTTTAGTAGTCAAGAAAAATAGCTAACTGTTTGCATAGAGTAAAAAATATCAAAACAAAATTGAATTATTTTAGCAACGTTAAGAAAATCAAGGAATATATCCAATGCAAGAATTATTAGCAAACATCCGAATTACAATTAAATGTGTCAATTACAGAAAATTAACAATTACAAAAAGAAAAGAAAAATTGAAAGTCAACATACCTTAATTTAAACTTGAAATTATGAGTTTTAAATTTTAGAAATTGAAAATTTTTTTAATTTTCAATTTCCGGCCATTTTGCATAGATCAGGTGAAAAAATTACAATAAATAAATATTTATGTTAACAAAATGGTTTAGATTAATTTAATATTTAACTTAATAAATTTAATAGTTTATCTTAAATAATAATTATTAATTACAAAATACCCCATATATATACATATATATATATATATATTGTGGGTCCTAAATTTTTTGTAGCACCTCATTTTTCAAACTTGGCCTTGTGGCCTCTGAAATTATCTCATGGTCTCTCCATGGGGGCCATATGGGCGACGTTGAGAAATCTTGCTCTAGAGGTATGCCTAACATTTTATTTTTGTCCTCCGCGACTTTCGGTCTTCCTTGTACTACATGTGAATAAAGGCTTTGTTCCTGTTATTGTAATTTCTCTTGTGTTCTCTTCA